AACATATATATTTCGAAGTTCTAAAATCTTGTTATTAACAATTTGTTAATAAAATGTTGTTTTCATTGTCGATTGCGCCATACAAGGTTTCGGTATGATGAGGGCGAACGTTATTCAAAAAAACGAACATAACACAACTATTAAATAAGTGATTTAATATTTTAAGCTTATCGGCTAGAACAGACAAAGATATGGACTTTCAAACATGGCGATCTGCGGCGACAACGGCGCCGCTACTAAACAAAACAAAATGAGACCTTATATTTAATATCTGCACATCGTGTAGTACAACGTAGTCCAGCCGACAGTCAATTTTTTTCCAAAATTCTTCATAAAGCACTCATAATTCAAATTTGCGGCTTTTACAAATTCCTAGGCAATGATGGCACGCAGATAATGTCTTTCACAAACTCTGTGAAAAGAAATCACAGTTCCGGTGACCTGATTGGCTAGTAAATTAAAGAATTGTCATTTAACCTATAGCGTTCGATCCATGCCTGAAAAAGTTCTGATATCATTTTGGTTTTGTACATATTAACATAAGTTGGAACAACCTGAAAGACATACAAGGATTTAAAGTTCAAAAATTGCGATTTATTCTCAGATCTACTTTTCCGCTAGTCAACTTAATGCTGACTGAAACAGCAAGATATAGTTCGTTGTAAGACAGTAAATTTGTATCAAAATATTTTATAGATAACACAAGAACGTGCCAAAAATGTTAATATAATATTGGTTTATTTATTCCACATTTTCAAAGTTAAACAATAAAAATTAAAAGACGAGTTATCGTATTAAATTAAGGAAATTGTCATGGTATAGAAAAAGTTTGCGCTCACAACTAAGAAAATTAATCGTTTCTCGCATTCAGAAACATGTATTTTCTTGAATGCTTTTGAATAACTGGATATTGCTCTATAACAGGTACAATTTGAATAAATAAAATAACTGTGTCAAATGCTAATTTATTTTTGATAAATAAACAATTTTATTACGCTCAAAATAAATGATTATATCCGGCATATCTTTCTTTAATTCTTGCATGTTATTAAACGATTGTTATTTAATTGATTTAAAGATTTATAAAATTGTTTAAATATATAACGTAATTCATCGTATGTTCATGAAATCTTATCGATTCTATAATAACAGTTTTTCTATTGAAACTTCATGATATATAATTATCATAAATCAGCATTTAAAATATAATAAAAAATAGAATATAGAATTTCTGTAAAATAATAGCAAGATGTCACAGTTTTTTGTACAAGAAAATGTTTTCACATATTACTTGTACAAGTATAGATATTTCTTGTACAGTTATGAAATGTCTCATTAGGAAGTACTGTACAACTATTCAAGTACAATGCACAACAGTCAATGATCGTCTATGACTATAGCTTTTACAGCGAAATCTTTGTCAGAATCTTTAGACAGACACAAATAAATGGTTTCATAAGTTTATTTTAGTGTCAGTCAAACACCATGAAATATGAACGTCAATACATTTTTTTT